CACTAAAATGTGGAGGAAGTGTGGGAAGACAGAATACTGTTAGAATAATTCCACTGGGAATTGAGAAAGTGACCTGGACCAAGTCTATGATAGAGGGCATGAGAGGAAGGGATGCAGTTATAGAGCAGTTATAGGACTTTATCATCCCAGAATGCCATTCTGAGTCTGAGCCAGTTTGTGAAGGCCTGACATTGCACTTCAGACATGACTTTCATCGAACAAACTGTCAGGTGTCTTGGCATTTTGTGGATGTTCTAGATGCTATGCTTGTATCATCTAGATTCCTTCTTTAGGACTGAGGCACTCATTCCCCATTGCAAGGAGTTTGGCTGCTGACAGCTCACCATGAGTTCCTACTTATAACTGCCCTGAGCCAAAGGAAGCTGCCTTGCCCCCAGTTGTGCTCTCTCTAAAGGGGCAGCCACATTTAATGTCTGGCCCAGAAGGGGACACACAGCCCTGGTCCCATGGCATCACTCAAATCAGGACAACTATGAAAGACCATTCCAACTCCAGAAGCTGCCACAGGGGTTGGCTGAAGCCTCCTTTGCAACTTCATCCTGTTCAACTTGCCCTCTGGCCATTCCTGCTTCTCTCACCTGTTGTCATGTTTGTTCCTGAGGGCATGCTCCAGTAGTTAATACCTCCTGCATGCAAATCTCAGGTCATGGGTCTGCTCCTGGGAAACTGGATTTAACACACATTCAATCCCACATGCAGATGGTGGTAATCATTCTGTCATTGGCTGACATCCCCTGTTGTCATACATGAAGATATTACTTTCGAAGTAATTGCACTTTCCAAAAGCATTTTGTTCTTTTTCAGGAACTATTTCAGACATGGGGGAAGTCTAGCTCTTTAATGACTGTACCTTATAAAATTTCTAATAAGCTTTGTCACCTACGGGTACTGAAGATTTATTTTCTTCCTCTGAATCATGGTAGCTATATGATGAATCACTCTGCATGAATCACTTCCAGTGTGGTTCTGAACTTCCAGGAGAGGCGTGTTTGTCACTGTGGATGTAATACAAAGATATCTACCTATAAATAATATAGACTATATGATTTTTTACACAGAAAGGACACCTTTATTTTATTTTTCTATGTTTATTGTTGTTGCTCATTTGTCCTTCCTGTTTGTTGTATGTTGGTGTGGGGGACATAGAAGTAAGTTAATGATAGGATGTTGGAGAGCTGAACTCCTGAGAGGAGGGGTATGGGATGTGTGCTTAGAACATTTCCAGATACATAGTAGGTACTAGTGAGTGTTTGTTGAATAGAAGTTTGTAAAGAAACAATTGAATGAAATGGAACAAGAAGTCTGTAGGAGCTCTGCAGGTTGAAGGGGTGGACAGTGACAGAGGGCAGAGTGAACATTTTTAGTCACAGGGTGTCAATTGCAAGCTATTATAACTACATTAAACCGAGGGTAAAAGGGTTTTGTATTTAGCAGTGTGTTTTCTATAATGAGATGATAAATTCTAACATTGAATGTGAAGTTCGGTTTGATACAAAGAATAATATTCAAAGATTAGGGCCTCACATGGATTATAAAGCAAAATGCTTCAGCAAAAATCTAGATAATTTGATAAAAGAAATAATTTAGATTTATTTATCTGAATAATTCATCTAGCCTCTCTCTCTCTCTCTCGTCATTGCTTGAGAATATGGTGACCAACAGCCTCTTTACCAGGGACTATCCCAGGGACTGCCCGGTTTTAGCACTGGAAGTCCCCTGTCCCTGGATACCCCTCATCTGGAACAGATCAGGACAGTTGTTTGCCCAGTAACTAATGCCTTTTCCACTGATTTTTATTAGATGAAAGCGATCCTGATAATTACATAATTATCAATTAATTATTGGTCTGTGCTGGGAGAGGCCATTTCCCTGCTCTGCTGACGGTCTTATATCCAGAACTGGGATGAACTACTCACCCAAACAAACAAAAGAATGGTGACAAGTTCCAGTATGTCACTCACCTCTGCTGGCCTTGTGGTCAGGAAAGAGAAACTGAATGGGAGGACTTGAGAAGGGCCTGGAAATTTTAAAGAAGAACAAATTTTAAGTTCAAGGTATTATGTTTTACTAGTGGCCTAGGACAGGATGGTTTCATAGATCAGTTTGTGGAGTCCCAGAAAATGAGCAAAGAGGCAAGAAGCTATGGGGGAAAAAAGCCAATAAATGTGAGTGTAAAATAGTTCATCATGAGGGTATGTGGTAGGCAGTTAGATAGACACAAGTAGAGCAAGGGCGATGGGACAGGCACAGAAGTTCACCAGGGCGGAAAGTCCCAGGTGCCTAGCAAAGGACATTTGTAGGGTGAGGCCTCATCCCCAGGGTGACCTTTCCTCCCCTAGTATATTGCCGGTAATTCAGTTTGGACACCCCTCCACAACCTTTCCTCCCTGGAGATAACAGCTAGGCCTTAGCTGTATTTCGGCTCCAGGCCAGATGTTGCAGCAAAACCAGACAAGCAACATCATGCCTTGGTTGACCTCAAGACCAACTGCATTGAATAATGACCCTCTGCCCTGGTGTCAACCAACCAATCAGTGGAGACCCTGACCCTGAAAAGACACACCTGGGAAGCTGATGAATATTCTATTGAGATCTTCCCCTGGGACCTCCCCTAAACTCTCCATTCTTAAAACTCTTAGGATGGAGGACCCAGTGCACTCTACATCCCAGGAGCTCGCCTGCACCGTTTCCTTCTCCCTTTACCCTCACCCTCTCCCTCCCTCCACAAGCATCACCTTGACCATCATTTCTAAGCTCCAAGGGCCCTTCCTTTGCTTCTATAACTTGTTTCCTAAGCCCATTTCTTCTATGAATTACTTCTACCTCCGTGATTTTATAAACAAATGTTCTCTTATAGTTTGCAGCTTGTCTCTGAATTCTTTCCTAGACAGAACTCAAGTACTGAGATTGTGGAATCCAAGTCCAGTCTGACCCTAGCAATTTAACACCTGGTGCTGTTTCTGCTGCCCCCAACAAGTAGAATACATGGTTAGCATTATGTGTCATATTTCTTCACCTTCTATCTGGTTCTAACTTGAAGCCATTTGTCATTATTTTGTGGCAGATCACACCCCCCCCCCAATTTTATTCAGTTGGATACTGATATTAATTGCTAAAGGTATATAACATCTTTGATTGTCTCGATTAAAACTAAAGTTGAAAATGGAGAACCAGTTTGACCAGCAGTAAATAATAAGAATCTTAAAAGGCAAATTCAACAAGCTGTTGATATAAATTCCCTGAAAATGTCTTCCTGTTTCAGCTTTGTTGTGAGAAGTCAAGGGGATTAACGTATCCACGGCTGGGCTCAAAGTTGGAAGGGGAGGTGGCAGTACGTCCTCAGAGGCTTGATGGCTGTACAGGAACCTGAATTTCAGAACCTCAAGAAAAGATGAGGCCAAGGAGGGTGGAATTAGGATGCTTTTAGTATAGCCATCATTCTCCTTGGACTTTCTTCTAGAGCTCAGTTACTTGCCAACAATGGAGAGCTTGTGTTTCTTTCTAATAAAAGTATAAGTTATCCAGTCAATTATCTCCTTGCCCCATCGGTACCTTCCCCAACCCATCAATTAAGAAGTGGTGGGTCTAGTGGATGGTATTAGAATTTCCACCTGCAAGTGGCAGATCTTTCCAAACTGAGGGTCCATCTGTATTTGCTAAAACTCTTATCCATTCATCTTTCTCAGTTTAGCTGCTTTGGATTACATAGTCTCCCTGCTTTCAGTCTTGCTGCCTCCAGGTCCTTTGTATTATATCAGCCAGAATGATCTTTGAAAAAACACAGATCATATTATTTTACCCCCTACCCCACCCTCAGGGTTAAATTCCTCTGATGGGCTCCTATCATACTTATCTAAAGTATTTGAAATCTTTATCACAGTTTACAAAGCATCATATCATGTGACCCCTACCTACCCCTCTTACTTTATCTTACCCACGAAGCTCCAGCCACACTGATTTTCTTTCTGTTTCTTGAATATGTTGAGTTAAGGCCTGTGGAGGGCTGTCGGAGTTAGGAAAGTAATCTCTTTCAGTTCCTGGAACAGCTGCCTTTTGTTTGTTTGTTTGTCATCTAGTCAGTTATGCTCTATTATATTAAAGTTTTAAATCTCTGCAAACTACCTTTTAATATGGGCATGTGTTTATTTTTAGACAAATAAAAATCTTTCTCTACCAGACTACAAGCTTCCTGAAAGCAGGGGCTTGGCGCCTTGTTCTCTGCATTAATCACATGTGAGTCCTAGAACAGCGCCTGACAGACAGCTGGTGCCCAGTAAACCTTTGCTGAAGTGACTGGTTTCTATTCTCAGACTACTTAAGAACACATCTGGCTGTTGATCAAAGGTAACATAAACGAAAAGCTGCATGCACATGACAACAAACAGAAGAGAGACTAAAAGGCAATGTGTGATTAAGTACTCCGGGACTTGTTACCATAAAGCATTGATTTAGTTAAAACACAAAGGAGGGGGTGACGCTTTATAGTACTGCCAATTATTATACGTTTTTAAAAGCCAGTTTTAACCAAGAGAAGGCAGAAGTCTTAGGTGGAAGTGACAGGGAGAGGACTGGGGGTGTGTAGTCTGAGTACACAGAGAATTTGAATGAATGCGAGCTTCAGCTCCTGCACCAGTTTGGCACGGGCAGCCTAGCTTGCCCCAAGATGAAATTCTTAGTATCTGGAGCTTGGGGTAAATGACAGTGGAGGTAAATATTTTGAAGTACAACTTTCCACTCCTAAAGACTTCGGTCTCCCCCCTTTCTCCCCCTCCCTGACCTTTCCTTGGCTTGGTGAGATGAAACTACAAAGTAGGTTTATATAGAAAAAGAAGAAGTTCCCTTCCTAGGTAGCGAGTTGAGCAAGTAAAAAGCTAGTGTGCGCTTGTGGTAGTGGGGGTGGGGGAGAGTAAGAAGGCTGTCACCTCTCATGGGATTGTTAGTCTTTGGTCTTTGATGTCTCAGCCACTCAGCGGCTGAAATAGGCCAGGCCTGCAGGATACATGAGTATGCTTAGTTTCTACAGGACATTTGTTTTTCCAAACTCCTCCTCTTTCCAAAATTTGGCAAGCGTAAGTCCTTTTCAACTCGGCATGAACCCACAAGTGTGCTTGTGTGGCTCACAGGCTTCAGATCAGGCCCCGCCCACACTTAGACAAGACTTGGCCCCGTCGCGCTGTTGGCTTTGGTTGGAGTGGCTTGTCTGAGCCACTAGCCCAGGGCCCACTCTGCCTCCTCCCCTAAAGGGAACCGACGGGCTGCGCAGGGCCAGAGCCGAGCACAAGGAAGAGAGTTTGGAGTGCCCAGGGGAGTTGGGCCGCAGGAGGAAAGGAACCAGAGGACAGGGACCTCCACTCCAAGTTTGTGTGGCCGCCGCCGCACCCGGGGGTCCTGCCCCGCAGCGCACTGCAGCAGCTGGACTTCAGCCCGCCGGAGGAATGGGACTCTCGGTCCGGGTCCGAGGCGGGAGCTAGAGGCTCGGCTGGAGGCCGGGGAGGAACTTCTTTCTCGAGCTGTCGCCTTGGGCCCTCATTGTCTGCGGGAACCCTCCGGAATCCGGAGGGGAAGGACAGGATTGCTCTTCCACTGGGATTCGGCCAGAGTTCTGGCGGCAGCTGCAGCGGCGGGTGCAGAGTCTCCCTTTGTCCTCCTAGGACCTCCCTCCCAGCCCTTCTCCCTCCCTCTGTCAGTTAGTGGGTTCCGCTGCCCCAGGCGCCGGCGCCCTAACTGCTGGCTGCACCCCCCCCCCCCCCCGGGTCCCTGGTAACTCCTACCACTGTAGCGTCCCGGAGCCGAGCCGAGGGGACTGACTGCGAGCAGGACGGAGTCCCAGGGCCCTGGCCGCAGGATGGTGGCGCGACTGTCCCCGGCCCGCAGTCCCGGGAGCTGGCTGGTCCCGGGGCTGTGGCTGCTGGCGCTCAGTTGTCCTGGGGGGCTGCTGAGCGCCCAGGAGCAGCCCTCCTGCAGAGGTGCCTTTGATCTCTACTTTGTCTTGGACAAGTGAGTGCCACAAGGAGGTCCAGTGTCTTCTGGTGCGGGTGGCATTGGATGAGCTGTGGCTGGGGAATCTGAAATGTGTTTGCGCCCTGGAGAGGGGTGTTAGAAACCCGTTGATGGGTGCCCTGTTGCTATCTCCACGCGCAGGGCAAACCCTTTAGCATCTTTGCTGGCTGGGGGTGGTGATAGGAGGAGCCCTGAGGTGCTGGACTCTTTGGGGAGGTGGGACAGTCCCTACTGGCCAGTCAAGGGGTCTCTAGGGAAATGGAAGTGCGGCCGCTGAGGGTAGGTAGCCTTGTGTGTCCCTGGAACCCAGGCAAGACTGTGTCTCAGCCTCTCTGTCCTCACCTCCTCATGCTGACTAGAATTTGCCTGGTTTTATACCAGGAAATGCCTAGGGTTAACATACCTTATGTGGTTTGCACTTCCTGCGAAGGAAGGCTGTGTTTATTTTAAAGAGTAAAACAATTAGCAGGCAGGTGGTCCCCAAAGATGGGTTCACTTCCTTGATTCTTGCACCACCTAAGTTTCTGTTACTTTATTGTTACTGTACATCTAGAAGGGGCCCCATGTGAATGTTTGTTTTTCTGATCGGTTCAATTTTTTTTTTTTTTTTTCAGATCTGGGAGTGTGGCAAATAACTGGGTTGAAATTTACAATTTTGTCCAGCAACTTACAGAGCGATTTGTGAGGTATTTCTCCCATTTACTTTTCTAGCTACTGGAGTTTTAGGTGGAGGGAAGTAGACCAAAATGTAGGGTATACCTTGTTTGAAAGCTTGTGCAGGAAAAGCCTTCACTGAAATGCTGGTTTTTAAAGTGCCTCAAGATCCTTATTATACACATGCTGTTGTTAGGACAGACCTTCAGTGGTGGAGGGCTTATTTCATCTGGATCCCAGAAACTTGGCTCTGGCTATGGCGAAGCATATTCAAATACCATTCGAAATGTCTTTTCCTTTTTAAATTTTCATCTGCTTTGAATTTCAGTTATGCTTTCTCATAATTTATCACATTAAAAATGTTATGCTAATAGTACCATAGTATATTTTTCTTCTTGCAAAATTCTTAGCATTGTAGAAGTCCTCATTAAAAAAAAAAAAAGTGTTGGTAAACTTCAAATGAACATGTGTTAATAACCCACTACCAGAAAAGGCACTTGTATGTATGTTTAAAGAAATGACTGTGTTTACACAATGTGTGGGTGTGTGGCGGGTTTAAATTTTAACTGTTGTATATATGCAATAAGCCTTACTAGGAAAGACTGGTTTCTTCTATAAAAAGCATAACAACTATGAAATCCAGCTTACTCTCTTATTTAGAGGTAACTAGGAATTAGTGGCATCCCTATTTAAAAATAGCCCTAAGACACCAGTTTTTGAGGCTTTTTTTCCCTCTTTCATTTTTCTTTTTTAAAGGAAAATATGCAATGAGCAAATGCAAGTTTATCAAGATAATGGGAAGGACACAAAAAAGAACTGTATCATTAAATATTGCTTCTTTCAGTCTTGTTAGCCCAAATGTTGTCTGTAAAACAGGCTTGGATGATCAAAACATTTTGAAAGTCATGTTGCAAGTAACTTCAACAATCTGTAGAGGCCTAGGCAATCCTTGCTTTCAGTTATTGGCAGCAGTAAACTTATCCCTATAAAAATGTATGCATGTCCGTGTTCAATCATCAGTCTCCTGTTTAAGAAGCCAAGTATAGCGCTAATGCCTGGACAGGGTCTGAGGTAAAACTGTCTAGGAAAGAAAAATAAGCAGGGCCCTATGTCCTTAAATGTCAAAGACAAAAGAGACAGTTGTTTATGAATGTTCTGATTTAATCCAAGAGTGTTCAGAAAGGATCACATAGATTCTGATCAAAAGCAATGGATCATTTCAATACATTTTCAAGAAGTGGGGCTCTTATTTATTTATCCTGATTTGCAAGTTATAATTCTGTAATACACAGTTTTCTGATTCCAGTTTTGTTGTTCAGCTACTAACAATACAGTGTAGGAAGTGAATAAAGGGTGACTACTGAAGAGAATGACTTTTCAAACTGTGTGAGAGATCATTCTAATCTTCAATTTATAGATCTTAGTTTCATATCTTCAGTTCCCAGTCTTAGTAATAGTTGCAAAGGGTGTCTTAGAAACAAGAACCATTCTGTGAAATAAATGCCTAAATCTTAAAAGATTCCTCTCACTGGGACACTTGTTGACCATTGGAAGTATGGGTTTGAGACTTGGAAAATCAAAAATACCTAATCAAAATGGGATTTGTTGGTTTCTTTTACATTGTTCATGGCACTCTTTAAATATTCTTACTCCAGGATAACTTCTGTAGGAATTTATATCATAGTTGTAATTAAGTCAAACTGGCAACTGTCCAGCCCTACATACTACTAGTGATAATCCCTCTGCAGGATTAGGTCTCCCTTAAGGAGATGAGGTAGAACATCAAGCAGTTTCTACAAAAGAATTTTACATTGGGCTAGAATTTATCTTTCTAGTTAGTCTCTTCCTAAATGGCCGCGTGGGTCACGGAGGAGTGCTTGAGTGCTGAGAAGCACTGACTAAATCCAAAATGGCTTATGCAGTAATGTCAAACAGAGTTAGTGTATCTACTTAGGGAGTTCCATTTATAAAAGGCTTGGACCATTCAGCGAGACCGATTTTAAATGAGTCTCCCTAGCTATACATCTGTATTGTATCAATATTTCTTTTTAAAATGTTTTAACTGCCTCTCTTCTTATTTTGCAGCCCTCAAATGAGATTATCTTTCATTGTGTTTTCTTCTCAAGCAACCATTATTTTGCCATTAACTGGAGACAGGTTAGTCATTATCATTTCATTGCAGGCTTTTAGTAGAGACTAATCTTAAAAGAATGATTGATATTCCAAGTGGTGATTCAGACCTCTTGATGGAATCAAGCAAATGTACAGACAGTTGGGTTCTCTTCGCTAATAGAGGGGAAAGGAGGTAGGAGTGATATAAAAGAGCAGATAATCTGAAAATCAATATTCTTCGTATTGGCTGTGGAATGTACAGTGAAACCCAGAACTCTCCTTAGTTGTATATTCACTGCTTCCTACCGTTTTCCTTCTTTGTTACTGTAAGTAGTTCTACATCTTTGTTGTCTAGATATAATATATTAATCAACTAGGGATCTGAAGAACATTAGGGTGGGCAAGCTATGAATCTATTCAGATAATTTACTAGATTCAGCAGACATCCTGGATATCAGCCTTACTCTGAGGTCCACTGGTGTTGAATATGTTCACCTGTTTAAACAAACTTGCTCTATATTATATTATATTATATTATATTATATTATATTAGTACATGTATATAAAACACATTTGTATAGCTCATGTTTTTTACAAAACATATATAATTTATATGTATGTATCTGTATACACACAGGCATCTTTTGTAAAAGATGTGGCTTTTTCCAAGCCCATGTCACAGTATCTTATATGACCATTTTTATGTCATTTGAACTCACTGTGGCAAGTTGGAAGTAGTCATTGCCCTATTTTAAAGAATGGCTGCTTTCCATGAAATCAGCTTTGTTTTGTAGACTCTTGAGTTTCATAGTGGAAGGGAGATTTTCTTCCTCATTTTCTTATCTACTTCATTTAACAAAAAGTATGCAAGATAGCGCTTGCTCAGTTCTTGTTGAATTAACGAATGACAGCATTATTTCAAAATCAGGAAAGGCTGGTGTATTTTGTTTTGCATAATATGAAGGTTTCTCAGGAGTTATGTGTGAATATAGGTTTTTTTTTCATAAATTAATTGTTTTCTTTAAAAATGTCAAGAAAGCATAGTATTCAAAGGGATTCAGGGAGAGAACCTAATTTTATTTGTGCTTTAAGTATTACTTTTCCTGGTGAGGAAGTCTTTCTGTAGATGGGGGAGGGGTGCAGCTTACAACCTCAGTCTTGTTCCTGATACTTCCCTTCCATACTTTCTTATGTGCATGTGGTTTTCTTCAAGGACCGGAGCACTAGCAGTCCTTACAACCCATACACAATAGCTTTCTACACCCAGTGATATGACAGTTCTTGCCTTCATGAAAAGAAATTTTCTTTACTGCCCAGTTTAATTTCCAAAGAACCAACTTTGGCTCCAGCCTATCCACTAGGAGAAAAAAAAGAACACTGTTAACATTTGTGGAGTGCACATACAGAGAAAAGCACTTAGCATAATGCCAGACACACAGTAGCCTCTCAGTAATTATCACCTGCATATGCTCTGCCAGGTTCTCTGTCAGACACTTTATATATGGGTCCTCCAGCACTTCGAAGATGAAGTGTAATCACTGATCAACAAGTTGATACTTAGACATGCACATAAAGAGTTTAAATCATTAATCTAAATTAGAGATTCTTGCCTTATCATTGGTGGAACCGAACAGGGGAGAGGTTGGAATGGGATAAAGAGGCTTCTATTTGAAGAGGCAGCATAATGTTGCTGTTAAAAGTCACTGAACCAATTTCTAGCCAAATGGTCCCAAACACATTACTTCTTTTTTTAAAGATTTTTAAAATTGATTTTTAGAGAAAGAGGAAGGAAGAGAGAGAGAAACATTAATGTGAGAGTGAAAGATCAACCAGTTGCCTCTTGCATGCCTCCAACTGGGGATCCAGCCCTTAACCCTGGCATGTGCCCTGACTGGGAACCAAACTGGCAACCTTTTGGTGCAGAGACGACACCCAACCAACTGAGCCACAACAGCTAGGGCACTTAGCTTCTTTAGGCCTCCCTTTTTCCTATGTATATACTGATGACAATGATGATGATGATGATGATGATGATGATGATGATGATAACGATACCTACCTTATAAGATTGTTGTAAGAATTAAAGTCAATGAGTGTGGGGAATGTTGGATAAAGTCTGGCACAGATGTATTCAAAAGATGAAAGCTTTGTTTTTGTTAGCTGGAGCTATAAGGTATGTAATATTTTACTGATTGGGGAGGAATTGTGCTTATATAAAGAGATTATTGTCCTGTTGAAAGGATTTACAATATTCCAGGCAGAATTTTAATAATGCTACTTGCAACTTATTTTATATATAGTTTGCTCTTCTGTCTTTTGAAATAAAAAATGTGTTCAGTTTTAATAAATTTAACTATTTGTGGCAAGTTGAATTTGTTTGGGATGGCAGAAAGAACACTAAGAAGACCTGGGTTGCTATTTACTGATTCGGAGACTTGGGTCAAAGTTTACACTCAGTGTGTTACCTTTTATGTGTATAAACTGCAGACATAGCCTATCAGTTTTTTTAAGAGCGATGTTATGAAGATCAAAATAAGATAATGCACAGAAAAGTACTTTGTATATCACAGAACAGTCTCCACTAAAGGATATTGTTTTCTGCTCCCACTAGTTCTTATACTCTTTTATTTAATTAAATCAGTAACTTAAAATTTTTATGATCCTCTATATTTGGATATAGGGTCACTTTTCATCCATTACACATTTTCATGTGTGTAGAAACAATTTGCATATTTAGATGCAAGATCACTGAACAAATGTTTCCACAAGTATTGTGGGTCTTTTTGTCAAAGCCTAGGAATTAGTATACTTCATATCCACTTTCTTGATGTCATATATCACACTGCCAAATAGATGTGAGTACATGAGAAATGCAAAAATGAAGTACAGCAGGTTTCACGATTTTGGTTCTGTTACTAATAATTCTTCAGTACTGTGGTAAATATGAGAACTATCTCTTTTGTGTTTCTCATAGTGTTGCTAAATATTTTCAGTAGAGATGAAGCAAGATCGGAAGGCAGCACATCCTTATGGTGGGGCCGTGTCTTCTGTTAGGTTTCAGCGTAGCATCTGGTACTATGTAAATGCACTAATAGAATGATATACTTGGCAAAAAATTATCACATACATTTCATGTACTCATCATTTAAAAACTTCATTCTTTTAAGTATTTCAATTCAAAACACTCTCTTTTCTCTTGTCCTCATGATTTTTATTCTCCATATATCTGTTAGTCTATTTTTTTTTTTACCTACCTACCTGCTTGCCTTCCTTATAAGATGTATTGAGTATTGTAGGCTCTGGGGTAATAGAAAGATGTATAATCAAGTGTGCATGAGAGTAAGGAGAGTGCACATATACATAACAGTTCAGGGCTGTATTACAGGATCAGGTAAGAAAAAAGTGCTGAGTGTTTTTTCATTGTGGAAACATCCAGCCTCTCAATATTAGAGAAGTTGAAACAGCACTAATTTTAAGGGATATTTTTAGTTACTATGGTGCATAATTGAGGATAGTGAATTATGCTCAGTTCTGTGTAGTATGATCTTAATATAAAAGTGATTTAGTTGAAATCCTTTAGTGAACAATTATTACGTGCTAGGCAGTGTGAAAAATGCTTTCCATTCATTGCCTCATTTAATCCTCATATCAACTCCATGTAATACATAGTATTATTATCTCCACTTTACAAATGAGGAAACTGAAACTAAGAAAGGTAATGTAGCTTGTCCAAGGATACTTAGTTAATAAGTGATGAGCAGTATATTAGCCAGAATGGTCTCTTAATATATAAAGTAGATCATGCCAGTCTCATGCTTAATACAGTCTGATGGCTTACAATAGAAGCACACATCTCCCCATGCCGAAAAGTCCTACTTGATTGCTTCACTGAATCCTTTTAAACATCAGATGCCACAGGCTAGCCCACTGGCCTTTCCATTCCCTGTAAACCGTATTGAGAATTTGGCTTTTTCTCTGCCCCAGATCTTGTCCAGGCGAGGCCATTCTTGTTATTCAGGCCTTATCCCACGTCACCTCCTCTGAGAGGCCTTGCCTAGCCTCCACATCTGAAGGAACCCTGACAGTCCTCCTTAGTAATTTCTCACAATACTCTATTTGATTATCATTTTTTGAAAAAATTCTGTTAATTAATCAATTTATTTTTATCTCCATGGCTCTAATGTAAATTGCATGAGAGTAGAGGGGTCTTCTTTGTCTTGTTCACCCATATATTCAACACTTAGGAGAACAGAGCCTGGCACACAGTAGATGCCCAATAAATATTAGTTGAATGAATGACTGAGTTTGACTCTAGAACATTAGTTATTAACTGCTGCAATGCATTTTCTCTCTTTGAGAAATGATACAGGATGACATATTTGATCATTTTCTTATTCCTACTATTCTAGATCAATTATAAACATTTTCAACTCTGTTTTTAATATACTTGTCCCCAAATTGAAATTACTTAGGGAAATAAAAATAGTCCTTCAGCAAAGTTGTTGGAAACTGAAGGGAAGTCATTAAGTTTAGATAATACACACATTTCTATTATTTGAAAAAAATTCTTCTAATTCTCTATAATCTGAAATAAAAATTTACCTGTGATAAAATAGTCCTTTTGAGTGTCAGTCACATATAGTTGACTCATTCATTTTGCAGGAACAGTTGACAGCATTTTTAAAAGTTTACATGGTTCCTACTAGCAGTTCTGCTTTTGTCTTACTAAAATACTAATACCAGTGTGCAAAGATAGGTATGTGCAAAATTAGATATCGCAGCCTTGTTCATCATAGTGAAAAACTGAATTCAATCTAAATGCCATAAATCAATAATTCTGTAACTAGAGTATACATAGAATAGTATACTATTCAGTCATTAAAAGAATTGGGAAATTTCTATATATTGACATGGAAATATATCTAAGGTATATTAATTGAGAAAAGAAAGTTGCAAAACACGCTTTTAAGTACGATTTAATTTTTTAAAATAAAATCTTTAACTGCTTTTATGGTGTATGTGTGTGTGTGATTATAAATGCATAG